ACATGTGGCCCTCTAGGTCCTCAAGTGTGGCCCTTTGACTGAATACAAACTTCAGAGAACAAATCCCCTTAATAAAAGGATTTGTTCTGTAAAGCTTGGACTCAGTCAAAAGACTACAGCCAAGGACCTAGAAGGTCACATGTGGCCTCTAGGCTGCAGGTTCTCCAGCCCTGCCCTAGATATTCCATCTTAGGTCAGGTTCAATACTATTTGGAGTTACTTTCATTTTTCTAGAAACCACAATTACTGGGGTAAATTGGGTAAGAGAAATCTTGTGATGCTCTCTTTTGGCAGGCCTCAAGGGGGCCTTCAGGATGGGGTTCCTGATTCTTGAGGAAATGAAACCATTGAACTTTTCATCACAAAAATAGCAAATTTTATTTTCCAATTTGAGCAAAAGATAAAGCAGCAAGACTTCTGACAGCAGATCTGGGGAGATGGGGCAATAGTACTTCTTGGTATTCAGGGAAATGCTTTTAGGTTGGCTAGGAGCCAAAAGTCAAAGGGCTTAGAGGGAGGAGACCTGGCATTTAGGTTCTACCATGACTAGAAGTTCACAAACTAGCTGATTACAATCAGCAAATCATCTGACTTCTGTGTTTCCTCCTGTTGCCTCAGCTGTTTAGTCTGGCCGATCTGTTCTTGATGAAGCCAGCTCTTTGTGGTCACTACTTCCTTTTCTATATGTTTACTAAGCATCTCTTTAATAATCCATTCTAGAATTCCCCCACCCTGCCCCCCTTGCTCCCCCAGGAATTCAATGACTTTTCCCTTCCACTCTAAATATCTATATTCTCATGACCTCCCAGACCACCTTTTCTTCTCTGAAGTCAAGGTCCTTAATGCTTATGCTTAACAGTAAATGTTTAACAACCAGCTCTCTGTGGGAATACATGTGAGCATGTGTGCACTCGCACACACACACACACACACACACACACACACACCCCACCACTTTTAACCCTAATCAGCATTAACATTTTCTCCGTCATGTTCTTAAGTCTAGAAATAAACAAAACAATAAATCAAGCCCTGATTTATAGAGTTTGACAATTTTCCAAAGTGTAAATGCTCTTATTTATACTTCCCAGGGATTGGGAACCTGTGGCCCTCTAGGTCCTCAGGTGTGGCCCTTTGACTGAATCCAAACTTCACAGAACAAATCCCCTTAATAAAAGAATTTGTTCTGTAAAACTTGGACTCAGTTTAAAGGCTACACCCAAAGACCTAGAAGGCCACATGTGGCCTCGAGGCCACAGGTTCCCCACCCCTGATCTAGACAGTAGAAGCTGGCTTTAGAACATCCCTGCCTGCATTGCTCCTTAAGTAACTAATCCTGCATTGATTTGTGATAATCCACACATAGTTTTGTTGAACAGAGAATATCTAACTTCTAAAGACTTTGTTGTTGTTATTAAGTCATTTTTTCAGTTGTGTCTGATTCTCCGTGATCTCATTTATTTCTCGGCAGAGATACTAGAGTGGTTTTCCATTTCCTTCTTCAGCTCATTTTACAGATGAGAAACTGAGGCAAACGGAGTAAAGTGACTTCCTCGGGGTCACACAGCTAATAAGTGTCTAAGGTTGAAGTCTCACAAAGAGGAGTCTCCTTGACTACAGGCCCAGCACTCTACCTACTCCCTCACCTAGCTGAGACTTTATAGTTCTCCAATTAGATTATCAGCTTTCTGAGCCTTATACTTTTTTTGGTGGCCTCTATAGTAATGAGGATTAGGCCTTTTACATGATAAATACTCAATAAAGATTTAGAAACAAAGAATCTCAATTAAAGTACCAACATAGGTTAAAAAAAACTACATAAGATAAAGGAAAGAGAAACCTGGTTTGATAGAAGTTTATAACAACTCTAGAGAAAAAAAAATCAAGGGTTAATATAGTGGACTTCAAGCTCAGTCTGAACCAATCATGTGACATGACTAGACAAAAGAATCAACACATTAGTAGAAGGGACCTCAGGAGCTATCTATATAATAATAGAAATTTACATAATTCTCTAAAATATGCAAAGCATTATATGTGTAGGAATATGTACATACAATTTCATTTGAATTCTACAAAAGCCCTATGAGAGAGGTAATACAGGTCTCATTAAACTCATTGTATGAACAAGAAAAATCAAGTCTCAGAGAGGATCATGGTTACGCTTGTACACACCGAAGGCAGTAAGCAAAACCTATGACTTCTTGACCCTAAGTCCAGCACTCTATTCCCTGCCAAGTACATAAATCTCTTCTATAGTATACTTGAAACTCTTAGAATCTCAGCTTTTTTTAATCTATAAAATAGGGATAATAATATCTGCCATATTTCCCTTATAAGGTTATCTCAAATGAGACAATGTATATAAGTTGATTTTGCAAATTTTTAAGCACTATATAAATGCCAGCTATAATAATTTTATTATTATTCCTTATAACATGCCAAAATTTATTTCTTAGTTCTGCTCTCCTGTGTCACACAGAATAAGTTGCATCCCTTTTCTGTTGGGCTGCTGTGGAGATAATACAGATTGCAATCATGTCTCCTAAATCTTCTCTTCTTCAAGTTAAGTTTTTCTAGTTCTTTGTGGGACATATTTTTAAGTCCACTTCATCATTCTGCTCACTCTTCCGTGGATATACTCTGGTTTGTTGTTGTTGTTGTTGTCGTTGTTTTTTGGAAAATATGGTGTCCAGAACAGACACAATACTCTCAATATAGTTCTACCACTACAGAGACTGTAAGTTTGCTTTTTCTGGACCCTCTGTTTCCATTAAAGAAGCTTAGGATTGCATAAGCTTTTCTGTCTGCCACACACTTTTGGATCATACTGAGTTAACAGTCACCTTCAGTACTTGAGTCCTTCTTATAAGAACTGCTATTAAACCAGGTTGTCCCATACCTCATATTTGTAATTTAATTTCTTGAACCTGTGAATGGTACTTTGTAGCTGATTGATTGATACATTCAGATTAGTCTTACAACCTCATTTCTTCCCTCTGCTTCCCTTTTCATATCCCATCAGTTGCCAAGTCTTGGTGTTTCTACCCCAGAGAAGGTAAATTCAAAGGGATCTCCTTCAACCTTCCTTTAGTGATGAATATGGAGGAATGAATTTGGATTTACTAGACCTGATTGCAATTTTGATTCCTCCACTTCCTATAGTATGTCATTTAAGCCCTCTGGTTTTCATTTCTTCATTTGTAAAATGAGGGGATTGGGCCAGATAAACTCAAAGATCCACTCCACCTCTCAATCTATGATCACCACCCTAGTTCAGATGCTCATCATTGCTTACCTTGCCACCATTTAGTATCTCCCTAACCAGTTTCCTTGCTCTGCTTTGCATACCTGTCTGCATCTATAACCATCATATCTGCCATCTATATCTATCATCTATATTTTCTATTATCATCTACCCATCCTGTATCAATTTATCATCTACGAATCTATGTATCACCCTCCCTCCTTACATCTATCTATCTATCTGTCTGTCTATCTATCATCTATCTATCTATCTATCTACCTATCTATCTATCTATCTATCTATCTGTTGATCGATCTATCTATTGATCTATCTAGGGAATGATCCTAGAGGTAATGGAACCACTAAAGATTTTTGAATAGGGGAGTGGACATGGTCTGAGAAATGCCTTAGGAAGATATTTCAGTAGTTTTGTGGAGTCAGAGGGAGGGGAAAACTGAAATCATGTGAGATAATATAGAACATTTAAAATAAATTGTGAAAAGCAAGAGGGAAGGGAGTTTATTAAGGGGTGGAAGAGTGAGGGAAAGGACCAGAAGAGAGGCAAATAAATGAGTGAATGGGAAGAGGACATTATGATAATTTAGGTGCTTTGGAAGGAGATGATGAAGGAGTCCTCATCAGTAAAAAATAGAATTGACTATTCCCATGAACATACAAAAAAGAAAATACTAACTCTGAAATGCTGAATTCACACAAAAATGAAAAAAAAGATTGTCATTTCAGTTTTAAGTGATACTACTGCAAAGAAAATCATGAAAAAAAAATGGAAAATCGATCCAGAAGATATATTCAAAGTATGTCAACACCTCCTTACCCCCATGTATCTTTATCATAGGAATATGTAACAAATAGCATACATTTTATATATTTATTGGGCTTTTCAATATTACCTTAATCTTTTTGGTCCTAACATCTAAATAATAAAATAGTATCACAAACTAAAAAACAAAATCTCCTCTCTCTCTCTCTCTCTCTCTCTCTCTCTCTCTCGTTATAACCTGGATCAGCATGTTTCAGCAATTCCTCTAATAAAATTCCTTGCCCTTTGCTTTTCACAGTCCATTTTAAATGTTTAAAGGTTTCTTACAAGATTTCAATCTTATCTTCCTTCTGATCCATCCTCCACAGAATTACTAAAATATCTTCCTAAGGCGTTTGTTGGACCATATCCACTCACCTGTTCAAAAATCTTTAATGGCCCTCTATAGCCTGTAGGATAATTCCACAATATGACATTTAAGGCCTTCTACAACCTACTTTTCCAGCCTTTTTAATATTATTCCCTTTCATACTATGTTCCAGTCATCTGGTCTACTGTTACCAGAATTTAATAACCCATCTCCCACCTCCATGCCTTTTCTATCAGCCATTTCCACTTGCTACCACGTACTCCATCCTCAATTTCATTTCATTGAATCCTTATCTTCCTTCTAGGGCTCCAGTCATGCATAGGATCCCCCTAGATGTCAGGATTCTTTCCCTCCTCAAATTACTTTGTTTTCTTTTTTGTGTGTATGATTTATGCATCCCTTGCTCCCCCTCCCTTGCCTCCGGAAAACATAAACTCCTTGAGGTTTGAGACTGTTTCATTTCTGTTTTTCTAACCTCAATATTGGACTGGTGTGATGCATGTATTTACTTAATAAATGTTTGTTGAATTGAATTGCTACTCACGGCCCTCATATGCTTTCCAGGTAATAATAAAAAAAACATCCTTTAAGAATGGACTTACCTGTGAGTCCCTGGTCTCCTTTAACTCCTTTGTCCCCAGCTTCACCTTTAGGGCCTATCAGGCCACCATCCCCTTTGATGCCTTTCTCACCCTGGGGTCCTGCAATACCTGGGCACAGAACATCAAGTGAGTAACCTTACCATTGCTCTTGGGGACAAAAGTGAAGTGGCAATTAGTATCCATGGAACCGAGAGAATGAACAGATTCCAAAGTGATGCCTTAGCTCATCTGATCGGTTTGGTTTGTTAATATTATTTGCACTGGATACTTCTCAGCAGAGCAAAGTAATCCTATGAGGGTCAAAAGTCTTCCCATTCTGTTACATGCCCTTCCCACATGTATGAGGGAGAGGAGGGTATCTTTGGCCATGCTAATTCTCATCCATCCCCAACTCTACCCTATTCCCCACACAACAAAGATTCATCCCTATGTTCCAGGTCCTAGATATGCCAGCAATAAACTGACCAAGTTTAGGAAAAGGCCAGGGGAGAAGGAACTTAGCAAGAGAGAGAGAGAGAGAGAGAGAGAGAGAGAGAGTCAGCTTTAGTTCAATCTAGTTCTCTATCTTTTCCTAGAGCTATGGAGATGAGTTAGTAGGAATCAATAGCTTTGTTTAACTAAGAGTTATAAGATTGTATCAATAGCCAAAAGAAAATTAGTTACCAGCAGGTCCTTGTTCTCCTGGAATACCCTTTGGTCCTTGGATGCCTATTGTATTTAAAGAAAGAAAAAATTCAGTCAGTATTCTCTAATTCAGGTCATCAGCAAACATTTATGACCATTGTGTTAAATGCTGTGTGGATAAAACAATGAAAAAGTGTATGGAAATATATTTACCAATAAATTACAACATACATGAAATCTGAACAATCAAGTTTGTACTTGATGCCTTGATGTACCTTCCTCCTCTATTTGTTAAGTTGGGGGACTATGGGTATGGAATGTTGAAAATATTTGTTGTTGTTCAGTTTATGTCTGACTCTTCATGACCCCATTTGGGTTGTTTTTTTTTAAAATATACTAGAGTCATTTGCCATTTCCTTCTCCAGCTCATTTTTACAGATAAGTAAACTGAGGCAAACAGGGTTAAATGACTTGCCCAGGGTCACATAGCTAGTAAATGTCTGAGACAAGATTTGGACTCAGGTATTCCTGACTCTGGACCCAGCACTCTATCCACTGTGGCACCTAGCGTCCCCTGTTACTATCAAACTATCAAACATAATTAATTTGTTAATTTTGCTGAACAGCTTTTAATCTTCTTTTCTTCATTTTTGTTATAAAAGATGGCTCATTGGACAGCAGGGGGGGAGAGATATGTTTGTAATATAAAAGCAACAATATCAACACATAAGATAACAGATTAACAATAAAAGGTGGCAAATAGTCAATGGCAAATGGGAGTTACAGAAAATAAGTTTTATTAGCATATCAGTGTAGGGAGAAAATGTTGTGGGCTGAAAATGATGAGGGAGAGGATCATGCAATAGGTGAGATTTAGACCTATATTTGACCTTGAACAATGTGTAGGATTTGGCTAGGTTGATAGGAGTGGAGAGCATCCTAAGTGAGTGAACAGTGTGAGCAAAATCATAGAGGTGGGAAAGTACAGGGCCTGGTGAGGAGATGATGAGTATATCAGATTGGCTGGAATAACAGCCAGAGCTTGCACTTACATAGGGCTTTACCTTTCTGGTGCTAGCTAGAAGCTCAGGAAAAAAAAATCCTTTGTTCATTGTGGGAAATCATTTCAGAAAAAATAAAGCTGGGTCTTTCCTAAGAGTTTATGTATATCTCTGTGCAGCAGTCCCTTCTCCCATTTACCTGGGGCTCCAGGGCTCCCTGGTGGTCCCCTGGGTCCAGGTTGTCCTGAAAGGGAAAGTAAATTGATCATGAAGCATGAGTGCCTGAAGAGACAATGGCTTCTCCCAGAATCAGGAAGACACAAAGCATACGACTGCATACCTGGAATTGCATCCCTTCCAGAGATTCCCTTTTCTCCCTTCATACCTGGCAAGCCAGGTAACCCAGCAGCACCTTTTTCCCCCTGGGGTCCTGGAGAAAAAGGAAAGACACAAATAAGCAGAAGGAAGAGTAAGGGATACAGATCTCTGTCTTGAGACAATTACTTATATCAATTAAAAACACCAGCTCTTCTTTGATTTCTCCTTCCTTTGAACTCCGGTATCATTTGTCATCAACATCACTTATTTGTCCTGGGACTGTGAGTTGTCTTTTCGTCTCTCTTTATTGTTAGAAGCTAGTTTAGAATTAGATCATTTCCTTCTTTGTCTGTGTATCCTCAGCACCCAGAATGATGCCTGGCACATAGTGGACCCTTAATCAAGGCTTCTTGATGGATGTGTGCATCTGGTCTTCTTACAACTGTAAATTTTAGACAAGCTACCATATAAGGACAAATGAGAGAATATGGGAATCTTTGTACTGGAGAAGAGAATTGTTGTAGTGGATGAAGCTCTGGACTGGGAGTTGGTCATAACACCTGAATTCAGCTCTCAGCCCTGCCACTAAGTGACCTTTGTCATCTCACCCCATCTGAGTCTCAGTTTCCTTATCTCTAAAATGATAGAATTGAATTAGATGATCCATGATGAAGGGTAGGTCCCTTATGACTTTGACAGTATATTATTCTATGTCATGATAAAGGTGGCTAAGTGACATAGTAGATAGAATACTGGACTTGGAGCCAGGAAGGGATGAATTCAAATCTGGCTTCAGATACTCACTAGCTGTGTTACCCTGGGCAAGTCACTTAACTTCTATTTGCCTCAGTTTCCTCAATTGTAAAATGCAGATAATAATAGCACCTGTACCACAGGGGTGCTATGAGAATTAAGTGAGATAATATTTGTAAAGCACTCAGCACAGTGCCTGACACATAGTAGGTGCTTGATAAATGCTTGTCTGCTTTCTTCCTTCCTTCTTTCCTTCCTTCCTTCCTTTCTTCCTGCAGGGCTATTATACGGAATAAAATTTAGAGATTAGACTTGATTTATTTAGTTCCAGGATGCAGAACTAGGAGCAATGGTTAAAAACTATAGTCAGGAAGATTTCAGTTTAATCTAAGGAAGAAATTCCAAACAATTATAGCTGTCAGTTTCCCATCACTGAAGGTCATAGCATCAAAAGATCATAGATTTAGAGCCAATAGAGACTTCAGAAGCCATCAAGTCCAACTCCCTAATCTTATAGATGAGGAATCCAAGGCCTAGGGAGCTTAAATGGTAGTAGTAAAGTAAAGCAACAAATGTTTAGTAAGTGCTTATTGTGTGCCAGGCACCATCTTGAGCATTGGGCATAAACATACAAAAAGAAAGATAGTCCTTGATCTGAAGAAACTAACATTCTAATGGGGGAAGACAATGCAGAAAAGGGAATAGAAAAGGAGTAAAGGAGGGAAGTTACCCATGAAGAGACATGGTATCCAAGTCTGGAAAGTCAGAAGCAGAGCCAGAAGAGGATTGAAGGTTGGCCTGGACTCTCCCTAGAATGGAGACTGAGGAGGAACTCGCCAATGGGAGAAGGAGGTTGGCATAGGAAGAAATGTTCTGGGGTGAGAAGACTCAAGGAAAAGTGGATAATAAACATTAGAAAACAAGTGAAGGTGATCTAGTACCTTTTTAGAGTTTCTTGTTTAGGTAAGAGTTAGACCAGATATGACTTTTGAGGAAAATTAGAGGTGTGATATCCCATGATTCCTTGAGGGCAGAGGTCCATATCATGCTTCTTTGTATCTTTTCCATGCCAGTGTCAGCACTTGGCAAAAACTAACTAAATTCTTGATTTATTAGAACAGCAATGAACTAGGAATCAGGAGGTTTGATTCTAGTCCTGGTTTTCAGCTGTGCGAAGTTGGACAATTAATTTAAACATTCCTGGAACATGTCCTCACTTGTAAAATAAGGGAAATAGACTAAATCATCTCTTAGGTTCAGTTAGCTCTAAAATTCTATGAAATATACTATTGTATACTACTCTTATATTCATATTGTATTATATATATTCAAATAGTATTTTTATTACAAAGTGCTTTTGCAGCTACTGTTTTATTTTTCCCTCACATTAATCCATGAGGGCTTTATAAAAGGTATTAGTAGTTCCACTTCATAGATGATGAGATTGAGCTTCCTCATTCTTAATTACTTCAATAAAGAAGTCACATGGATATTGGCACATATTGATACAGGGGGGCTTTTATTTTCTTAGCAATCAAGGGAAAAACACTGTGCTCAGTGCCTCCAGGACAGCAGTTCTCAAACTTTTTGGTCTTAGGACTCCTTTATACTCCTAAAGTTATTAAGAATCCTCCAAAGAGTTTTTGTTTATGTGGATTATATCCATTGAATATATGCTTTTAGAAATGAAAAGACATCTTATTATTATTATGAAAATAATTTTGACCTCATGGATCATAGGAAAGGGTGTCAGGGACCGCCTTTATGGTTGCCAGACCATACTTTGAGAAGTGTTGATCTAGAATTTGTCTCCCTTAAGCATCCTTACCAGAAGCAAAATTCAGTGGCTTATTCCTTCTGCCTAGATTATTGTGGAAGTTCTGGACTAGCTGACTGGCATCCATTTACTTGTGTGCCATGGTGGTTCCAGGGAAAGTAAAAAGTTCTGAATAGTTTCAGCACTATTGGGGAAATTGCCCCAGGAGTAGTTTCCAGAGCAGTTTTCCAATAAACAATCTGAAGCAACTTACCCTTTCTTTCATGGGTGGCTGTGGTATGTGGGGGTATGGTGGCTTAGATATTGTGGACAAGTTTTTGGGGTAGGAGCCTGAGAAATAATGATTCTGTGATTTTTGCACCAGACCTCACCTTCTTCCAGTTAGAACATCCCTAGCTAGGTGGCATAATGTGGGACTTGGAGTCAGAGAGACCTCTACCTAGCTGTGTGACCCTGGGCAAATCACTTAATCTCTCTTGTACCTCAGTGTCTTCATCTGTAAAATGGGGATAATAATAACACTTCTTTCACAGGGTGCTTATGAAGATTTAATGAAATAATCTATAAAGTACTTTGCAAACCTTAAAGCATCATATAAATGCTAGTTATTAATACTGTATGTTTATTTTATTATAGATAATATCAACTTACAAGAAACAGTGTTGAAGAATGAAAATGTTTTTGTTTTGTTTTGCTTTGTGATGCAATTGTGGTTACATGACTTGCCCAGGGTGATACAGCTAGTGTCAAGTGTCTAAGACCAGATTTGAACTCAGATCCTCCCCACTCCAAAGGTGGTACTCTATCCACTGCCCCACCTAGCTGCCCCAAAAAAGGAAAATCTTGAAGAAGAAATTGACAAAAGGGAAGCCTAAGAAAAGGAAAGGAGAAGGTCTAAGGCTTAGCAGGGTCATGGGAGAATTTAAGGGCTAATTGTATGTATTTTTTTTGCTCTGTTTGGCTATCATAATCATCATCATCATCATCATCATTATTCTTATTATTGTTAGCACCAACCTGTAGGGCCATCTCCTCTCTAACCAACTGTCTTCCTTGAATCACTGGCTTCCAGCAACAGGTGACAGAAAGTAGGGGTTCTGAACCTCTTTACTATTTCCTAGGGATGACACTGCATCCAGGGATGTTTGGGAAAAGCAGTTCAGTTTGAATGAATCTGTGGCTTGGAATTCTATACTTGGAAGTAGGTAGGAGAACTTTTAAAGAATTAATAAGCTAAGCTGAGAACAGATGTTTGGATTGCTGATGGTTCTTAGAAAAGCACTAACTATATTGGAAGTGCTCAAATTCCCTCCCTGCACAATGACTTGCTATTGTCTAGACGGTACACAGTATATACTGAAGTCACTTAATAAATAATGGATCCAAAGATTCTTGCCTTAAGAAAGTTTCATCTATTTATTCCTGGAATTGAATGTCAACCAAATCAAGAGTTATTTATTGTTGATTTTATTGAGCAGCTACTATATGCAAGGTTGTCTGGAAGACACAAAGATGAATAAGGTACAGTCCCTCTCCTCAAGGATATTGCAATCTAATAAGGAAAATAAGACATCCTTGAAAATAGAAGGCAAGGTATGCTAAGTACTAAATGAAAGGCATAGACAGTACGTGCAACAGAAATTCAGAGGAAGAAAAGATGGGCTGTTGAGGGACAGAAGAAGTAAGACTTGGGACTTGGCGCTGGAAGATGGTTAGGAATTATTTAGGTGGAGGGGAGAGGTAGAGCGCCCCCTCCCAAGAAGGGGCAAGGTATAGACAAAGGCAAAGAGGGAAGAAAACACAAGGCATGTTGCTGAAATGGTGAAGATGTGGAGAAGTTTTGTTGGGAGATAAGACTAGAAAGTTAGGTTGGGGCATATTTTGTAAAACTTTGAGAGAGAGGTTCTAACATAACCTAATGAAGGAGTAGGGGAAGCAAGAGTAGACCTACCTGGAGAGCCTGGATCACCTTTGTTCCCCCGAAACCCTGAAATGAGAAAGTGTTGTATGTCATGGTCTGTGCTGGATCATTTTGTACACTCCTCCCACTCAGCTTTCCCAAAGCCAAAGGAGGTGTCTGCCTTTTGAAAAGACACACAGGGACACCACATTCCCCAAGAGTACATTCTTCTGGTGAGTTTGGATGTTGCACACATACAATCTCCTATCTTGTACTGAATATACCTTGTGGAGAGTATTCTTACTGTGGCTAAAACACCCTAAGTGAAGAGAGATCATTTTTGTTGCTCATTCAAATATTTTTTTCCTACAAACTACTAATCACCTAGAAAAACCAGATGTTTGGTGTGTAGGCTAAGGAATAACTAAAATTTTTACTTTCTTTTGCAACTCCTTTGCTTTAATTTACATAGACACAAACTCTTTTCAAACATATTCTCATGAGAAGGAAGAGTGAGATACTTTTCTTTATATGGCAAAGAACTCTGGCATCTTCAAACTTGGAGTAAAGATACTTTCAGTGACAACTTCCTGGGCTGGAAGGGAAAAGACTTTCTATTTTTCCTCTCTATGAAACCTATGGGCATAAATTTCTTAATTTCCATTCAGACATTCTGGACTTGATCTCTGTGTCATTATGGAAGGATATTGTCTCGTTCATTGCCACTACACTTTAAACTATAGAGTCCTAAGAAAGCCAAGAATGGATCACCTCATCAGTTTGGATGGCTTTGTTGATAACAGTATGAAAAGTGCTGATGGTCCAAACCTCCAGGGAGTAGCATCTATGAGGCTTATAGTACTCGATGACTCCAATCAGTTTCTTCAAGTAATAAGACTAGCAGAATTGTCCCTTTAGCTCAGTCTTATGATATTTATAGCCCAAAATTCTGGATCTGATGAGGGAACTATGGAAAAGTTTGGATTGTTCTCACAGACAGCGTTCTCTCTTTTGTGGAAAAAAAATATTTATTTATTTTTAAATTATGAGTTCCAAATTCACTCCCTTTCTCCAGCACCTCTTCCACTCACCAAGAAGTTATACATGGGAAATTGTGCAAAACATCTTTTCATATTAATCATGTCACAAAAAAGCAAGAAAAATAAATTGAGAAAATTATATTTCCATTAGCACTCAGAGTTTATCATTTCTCTCTCTGGAGGTGGATAGCGTTTTCATTATGAGTCCTTCGGAACTGCACGGGCATCATTCTCAAAGGTCAAACATATGTCCCAAATATTCCTAGCCTCTCTTAATAACTTGTGTCACTCAGAAATTTTAGCCATTTTATATTTTTCACCAAGATCACTTCTCAGAGTGGTGAGTTCCCTAAGATTAATCCACATAGACACAGGGATTTCTTTCATTGATTCTAAAACTTTTATTCAAGTATCAAGAATGACCCTCATTCTAGGATTATGGAATTTGCAAATAAGGTCAATGTTCACCTTCCCCTTTGGAATTTATAGATTCATGTCCCTACTTTTTGTTACTGTAATTGAGGCTTATTTTGTGCAGAATCCTGGAGGTGGGGTGAAATGTAACATACCTGGCCTTTAAGCAGAGGCAACCATGGTAGACAGTGTTATATAATATAACATTCAAATGTAAGCTCCCCAAGGGTAGATTCTGCAACTGTATCTGCTTCCTTTTTTTTTCTTAAATTCTCAGTACATTGTACATAGTAGGTACTTAATAAATGATTATTTAATGAATATATGGAGAATATTCAGCCCCTAGAGTTATTTCCTCTTTTATACTCTTTGCATTGTAGGTACCCATAAGATGATTTTTTCAGAGACTAGGACCAGCATCTAACTAACTTTTAACTCCCCTAAATTGAGATTGGAAAACCAAGAGGTAGATGGAAAATGAGATAGATAGCTCTTCTTATTTATCTGGGCTTTGTTTTTGACAGTCTGTTCAACTCTGCCAGGGAAGAAGGTTGGATAACTCTCATGAACCCATCATATTCACCCTTATATAAGAGTAAGTGGAAAACCCTTCTTCTTCCTCTTATTTTTCCCCTTCCTCTTTGTAGTTGTATCCCTAGTGCTTAGCACAACGTTTGGCAGATAGGAAGTGCTCAATGCATTTTTATTCATTTATTCCTTCTTCCTAGGGAGCGTAATGTGTGAGAGATTGGATATCAAAATCCTATTTGGAAAGTAGGTGAGTGAGTGAGAGTATGGATTGAGCTCCTGAATCTGCACTGAGAATCATATGTATGTAGTACTTGGGCTTTGCTGTCCCCACTCCTCTCCAACTATTTCATAATCACTCATCTTGTTTTAGTCTTACTTCAACTCTAGGTGAGGGACAAGGAGAGAAAAGGCAGAAACTATTCTCCTTGTTACAACAATATTGAAACTAAGGTCTGTGATGGCTAAAATGCCTGCCCTAAGGATACATGATGAATTAAGGATGGAGCCAGGAATCCATTCCACTGAGTTCTCCTCACTCATAGGAAGATGATTTTCCAGGCAGATCAGTCTGCCTTTCCATATTCAGTGTTCCTACCAATATGAACATAGGACTTCCTCCTCTCCCCTCTTCTCTGAGGTGGCCCCTTGTGACAAAGGCAGAAAGGACCAAAGAAAGAGCAGAGAAAACAGATATGCCACTCACCTGGGTTCATGGTAATGTTGTCCATCCTTCCACATAATTCTTTCTGGCTGGCCTGCACTTCAGTGATTGCCTTTTCAATTTGCAGAAACTTCTCTCTCTCAGTCTTAATGTTGAGAGGGGACTTGCTGGACAGCATATAGGAGAAAGATGGACCTGATTCTTCGTCCAGGGAGGATTCCAGTGTTCCATTGGGAAAGAACAGTCTTTCAAGTGTAAGAAGCCAAGATCTCTGGGAAGCCATTTCCTTCTGTAGACTCAAAACTATATATGCATGCTTCTTATAGGACCTTAATATTCATGCATCACATTAATGTATAACTTTCATATTTTCACATTTCCCTAGGAGGATGGAGGACCTAGAGCAAATCAACACTGCCTCTCCTAATTCCCAAGTCATAAGATCACTGAAGTTAGAACTGTAATGCACTTTTTAGCTCCAATTTCCTCCCCCCCTTTTTTTTAAAGATAGGTAATTGAGATCCACAGAGATTTCTCATTTGCTAAGAGGTAGACATGAAGAGGAAATAAATTATAAAAGAGTAATTTATTGGGAGTCCAGTGGGGAGGGTAAATTTTATTCCCCTTTGCCTTGGACATAGTGAGGCATTTACAGGTTGATTGTGTGCATATGAGCCTCATCTTTCCTTTTCAAATATCAGTTGGCAAGGCTGCTTCATTTTTGTACATCTGTCACATCTGAATCATTACCAAGTTTTTGAATTTAAGGAGCAGTTCCCTAAGCCAGGGATTACATTGATGTGCCAAGTCCTAGGGATGACTGTTTAAATGGCATTCTTGCAAGACTGCAATTTGGTTTCCCTCACTTTATGTAGTCCTTTGGACTTAACACGTAGAACCAGTCTTCTTAGAATGGAGGCAACAAGCTAAGTCCATCATTTGTAGTGGAAGACTGGTAGAGTCTTCCATTTGACCTTCCCAACCCCTCCATCATGACTCCCTGGCATGGTAAACAGCAAGCCCTGGGGGAGGGTTGTTGCATGGCTTTCTGCTGTACTATCCTCATCATAGCTCATGGGTGGTACCTGTCCCTTGTATTGACTTCAGCTAGAATGCTGTCGTCTTCCCACCATAATGGCTTCATTACCAGGACTTCTTCCCAATTTCCTATTTAATCTTGGTGTTTCAGAAGAACCCATTAATGCCTCAAACTTTCTGCCTCAAAAAGACTAAACAAAAGTTGGCAATCTCTGGCTTTAGAAACAGGTAGATCTTGTAATATATTAGATCAATGCATGCACTAACATTTTGCTAATTCAATTTGGCTGGCCTGTATAAATTATTAAATAATCTGAATAGCAGAAGAGTTTTTAAAGAAACATAAAACTATAACTTTCAAGAGTGCACAGTAATCCCAACTACACTAACAAAGGATTACCTAAGAGAAGCCTTAGAGAGACTGCTCAAATGAAAGAATTATTTGTAATTAGCATATAAATATTGCCTATAAAGTATTTGAAAATAGTCTGTTCTAAATTTCCTCCTCACTTCCATTCACACCATTCATTTGCTTAACCCAATTCTTCATAGACAGAGAAAATTAGGATTCTATGATCTGTCCAATCTGTGTCTGAACTGGTCAAAAATTCCAAAGTAGGGGGCTCCAAATTAATGATTAATTAATTAATTACATTTTCTATCTAGCCAGTTATCATCCACCAGAATTGAGAAGTGACTAGATAATCCCCTGAGATGATGAATTTAAAAAGCCTTCATATTTGGTTAAATAATTCAATTAGAGGAGTATAGTGTTTTATATATAAATATGTGTGTATGTATGTATGTATACATATACAGACACACACACTTATCCTCTCCTAACCCCGAGGCCATCTTGTCTCCTTCTGTTTACCCAGAGGCTTGCACAACAAGGAAGAAAAATTCCTCAAGGCTCCTGGATTAACCAAAGTTTGTGCCAGGGTGGGCATCATTCTCTAGCATACAGAGCTTGTTCCCAAGAAAAGCAGTTACCTTGTATCACCAGAAATCCCACACCTGCTGTAAACAGGACCAAGTAGATGATTATTGCAGACGTGATACAATGTCCTCCACATTTTTTCTTGGACTTTGACTCTAAAACGCAGAGAGTAGAATGTTGTTGGGGGCAGAGCAAAGCAACCTCTAAAAGTATATATACCAGCAGGATGTAAATCATAAGTTCCAGTGGTCCCACTCCACAAAAGCACCAGTTTATTTGACATTAAGAGAAGGAGGCAGGAAAAGTACATAGGCCCCACAAAGGGTCATTCCAGTGATCCTGTTCCTCCTAGGAGAACAGGACTGGAAGAACCACTCAGATTGGAATCTCTGGGTAAACTACTTGACCCCTCCAGTGCTCAAACTGCTCCATTACCTCCTCAGGAAGACCTCTCAAGTCTAGATCTAGGTCCTGAGTCCACATTTCATTCCCCTTACATATACAGAGATGGGTCTTGTCTAGTTTCCACAGCTTTCAGCCTTCCTTTCACAATGCCTTAAGCTCCTCATTTTTTATTTTGGTGTACTTTAAGGTAATGGACATATTACCAACAATAATTCATAACATATTTGGTTTGTTGACTACCATCCCATTGATATTCTAGGATCTTTCCCGATTATGTGTGATAGGAAAGAATTCTTCACTAATAATAAAAATAGACATTGAATAATAGTTTATCATAGGACCATTTCTGTCTGAACTCCATCAAACACAAATATGAGCAGAGTGAAATAATAACTCATATTTACATAACACTTTAAGGTTTGCAAGCTCTTTGAACACATTACATTATTTCATTTAATCTTCATATCAACCCTGTGAGATAGGTGTTATTATTATCTACCTTTCACAGAGGATGAAACATGCTTAGAAGGAGTAAGGAGTGAACAACTATGGATTATATTACATTTCACTAAAGCATAATTTAAATGAGCAAAACATAGGATTTGCAGACCAAAGCAACAGAACTGCTCCTGAAATCTCAAAATTCTTTGGACTCCTTCCTATAATAAAGTGAAATTATTGGCTTTACAATTTGGAACTATGCCTAAAGGGCTATAAAATTGTGCATACCCTTTGACCCAGCAATACCACTTCTAGGTCTCTATCCCAAAGAGATCACAAAAACAGGAAAAGGACCTACATGTACAAAAATATTCATAGCATTCATTTTGTGGTGGCAAAGAATTGGAAATTGAGGGGATGCCCATCAATTGTGGAATGGCTGAACAAGTTGTGGTATATGAACGTAATGGATTACTATTGTGCTAAAGAAATAATGAGCAGGCAGACTTCAGAAAACCCTGGAAAGACTTATATAAACTGATGCTGACTGAAATGAGCAGAACCAGGAGAACATTGTACACAGTAACAGCCACAATGTGCTTTGACTGACTTTGATAGACTTTGCTCTTCTCAACAATGCAAGGATCTAAGACAACTCCAAAAGACTCATGATGGAAAATGCTATCCACATCCAGAGAAAGAACTATGGAGTCTGAATGCAGATGGAAGCACACTATTTGATTTCCTTTTCCTTTGTTGTTTTGTTTTATTGTTTCATCCTTGTGGCTCCTCCCATTACTTCTAATTGTTCTTTATATCACAACTAATGGAAAAGTTTGCTTAATATGAATATATAAGTAGAGTCTATATCAGATTGCATGCCATCTTGGGGAGGGGAAAAGAGAGAAAGGAGGAGAAAATTTAAAACACAAAAACTTATGGAAATGAATGTTGAAAACTAAAAATAAATAAATTAATTGTTTTAAAACAAGGAAAAAAAAAAGAAATTACTGGCTTTAGAATTCCTAGGGAAAGGAGGAAAGGAATGAGGTAACCAGCCACTTCGAGGAGACTTAAAATTTTCAATTCCCAATGGCTGCAACTTTGCCTGCTAGCTTTCTCAATTTCTCCACTCTATTATGTGTTTGGTTGTTCTCACTGTGAAGGGACTTTGAAACTAAGCACTTCCGTATTTCATCTGAAACCCCCAAAAGCTATTGTATTAGGCATTCCTAGTCTCAAAGTCACAAATGGGCAGGGAGTGGGGTGGAGTCATTGTCTCACCATTATTACATTCATTCCATCTCACTGAATGACCATCAATCATCCTTACAGGTGTTGTACAGGACACCCAGCTTTTGCTTTTTGTCAATCTCCAAGTGAAAACTGGAGTTCAATGCTTTTGTATACTGGTTTCTGACCTTCTGAGTCAGTTGCCATTTTTGATATTCTCAAGGTCAGTGATTATATTATATTATTGTTGAATTTAATTGAATTGGAAGGGAAGTGAGATGGAAAGAAGGCCTAGCAACAGATAGGTTTCCCCCAAAAAAAGCAAAAGAAAAGAGGGTCATTGAAACATTTTTTTAAAAATGCACAGAAGATAACAGAAGGAAGACCAGAAGGAAACACAGACTAGTAGGACAGTTTTGAAAGTTACACATGAAATTATTATATACTTAAAAGGAAAAGCAAGCTCTATATCCTAGATTTGCAATTTTATGTATATTCTTTTTTGTTCTATTTTGCATATAGAAATATGTGTTTTATTTAGTGTCTGTTAAGTTCAGAATATTTTGAAAAGTCCTGTTGAAGCAAGAAGGGACAGATAGTTCCATTGCATGGAGCATTAATTAGCAAATTATAGAGCAAGCAAAAAAGAACTATTTAATTCTAATTTGTTTCTATCTTCTTCATAGAGAGTATTTTTCAAACTATAAAAGATATAAAAATCATGGCTAAGAGAGAATCAGAGCCCAAATTAGATGAAAAGATTCAGAAAACATTTAGCTATGTTCAATAAATTCAAGTTTCCTGGCCCAAACAAACTATACCCCAGGGTACTGAGGTGCTGCAGAATATAATCTCAGGACAACTGTCAGTAATCTTTAAAGAATTATAGAAGATGAAAGATGTGCCAGAAGACTACAGTTAAGCAAATGTACCAATTTTCAGAGAGAGGATATAGGATAGATGTCAGAAACTAGGAGACTAGTAAACTTAATGTCAATAAAATTCTAGAATGAATTTTTAAATAATTCAATTCAATTAAACAAGTATTAATTCAATACCGATTATGTGCCAGGAACTGTGCTAAGGCATTAGGGATACCAGGACAATAAAAGAGTCATGCAGCTCAAATTTACATTCTTTTTAAAATTAAAATAACTCCTTTTGTTATTCTGAACTTAAACATTAGCATTTCTATAAAGAATAACAGCATAAGAAAATTGCACATAGAACCCTGAATCCCTATTATATACAACTTGAATTTTAAAAATATAAATATTGAAAAGTATAAATATAAAAATATAAATTCAACATGCTAGTTTCAAACCTATTTTGTTAGTCTGTGTTTCCTTCTGAACCTCCTTCTGTTTTTTTTCCTGTACATTAAAAAAATACTACACTGACCATCTTTTCTTTCTTCCTATCTCTCTCTTCCTTCATCTTTTTTCTTCCTTCCTTCTTCTTCCTTCCTTCCTTTCTTTCTCTCTCTCTTTCTTTCCTTCTTTCCTTTTTTTCTTTCTCTCTTTTCCTTCCTTCCTTCCTTCCTTTCTTCCTTCCTCCCTCCCTCCCTCCTTTCCTTCTTTTTTCTTTTCTTCCTTCCTTTCTCTCTTTCTTTCATTACTATGCTTGTCTTCATCTCTATACTAAATTCCCCCTTCCATTTAAAATTTTTTTAAAATAACAATTAGGCATAGTTAAACAAAACAAATCCATGCATTGGCTGTGGCAAAAATTATATCACAAGTTACTCTGAATTTCCCACCTCTCTCAAGGAATTTTGTTCTAAGGAGAACTTTTTTAATACTTCAAAGTGAAGGTGGTGATCATCAGAATAAAATTATGACCAAACTAATCACACTTCCTTCTTTTGAATGAGTTATTGAAAGAGTACACTGAAACAATGCCATTTTAATTCCAGCAACACATTTGACAAAGTTCTTCATGAGTTTGAGAAGTGTATAACATGATGGCAGATTTGAATGGATTTATAGTCTCTGATTGACTATACCTGAAGAGTGTAGATTAGTAATTTGATGTTATTGGGTATTAGCCAAGCTATAAAAAAATCAGTTTGAATCTCTATGTAAGAAAAACTTCTAAATAAGAGATGACCCAAAGTGTAATGGGCTAAATCAGGTATATTTCACAGATATATTTAGGGATAAATTCTTTTTTTTTTAGGGATAAATTCTTAACCAAACATAGGATAGAGGTGATTATAACAGATAAATAGATAATTTAGGTTGTATAAAATTGAAAAAAAACTTTTGCATAAACAAAATTAATGCAGCAAGGATGAGAAGGAAAGTGGTCAATGGAGAAAAAACTTTATATTAAATAACTCTGAAAAGCATCTCATAGCCAAGATCTATATGGAACTACTAGAAATATTTAAGAACAAAAGCAATTGGAAAAAAGAAATGGGTCAAAGAACATAAATAAACAAAAAAGCATGAAATAGAAATCTTAAATAACTCAATCTTAGAAAATGACCAAATCATAAAGGAACTACCAAAGGAAAGAGAAATAAACCCTAGTCTAGATGAATTTGTAGGCAAGGTCTTTAAAGTGTTTAAAGAACAATAATTATCTATGCAACACAAATGATAATTTTTCTCATTAATTGTGATAGAAAACACTCTACCAAACTCCTTTTATGAGACAATTATAGTCTTACTATCTAACCCAAGGAGATATAAAGCAGAAAAAGGAAATTATAGGTGAGTAACAGTAACATTGATTCAAAATTTTTAAATAAAATTCTAGCAAGAAGATTATAATTTTGTATTTTAAAATTTATTTTATGACCAAGTTGGATTTTACCAGGAATGCAAGGATAACTTGGAATTAGGGAAACAATTAATATTATCAATCATATTAAAAACAAACCATGGGGCAACTAGGTAGCACAGTGGGTAGAGAACCGGCCCTGAAGTCAGGAGGACCTGAGTTCAAATCCGGCCTCAGACCAAACACTTGACACTTACTAGCTGTGTGGCCCTGGGCAAGTCACTTAACCCTGATTGCCAAAAAACCCCAAAACAAACAAACAAACAAAAAAAAATAGACCTGCATGATTATGTCACTGGGTATAGAAAAATCCTTTGACAAAATACAACACTAATTCATGCCAAAAACCTGACAAAGCATAGGCTTTAAGGAATCATTTGGAAAATGAGTGGTATATATGCATAAAATCAAAAGCTAACATTATTTGCAATGTACAAACACTAGAAGTTTTTCCAATAAATACAAGAATAAAGCAAGCATGTCTCTTCTTTCAATTGTTATTTGATGTTGCCTAGAAATGCCAGCAACAGCAATAATGCAAGAGGAACATAGGAGAAGAGGAAACAAATTGTTTTCTAGAATGACTGGACCAACTCACAGCTTCACCAATATATTAAAAGGCTTATCTTGCTACATTCTACCTAGCATTGATTATTTCTTCCTTTTGTCATCTTCTCCATTTTTCTGGATGTGAGATGAAACTTCAGAGTTGATTTCTGTTTAGGTATTAAGATGGACTAGACGACCTCTGAGGCCCCTGCCTAGAGGCAACTAGGTGGTGCAGTAGATAGAGGGGTGGCCTTGGAGTTGGGAAGACCTGGGTTCAAATCTGGCACTCAGACACTTCCTAGTTGTAGGACCATCATCAAGTCACTTAACCTCTGGTTTCCTCGAGTATAAACTGGGGACAACAGTATGTATCACTTATCTCCCAGCATTGTTTTCAGGATCAAATGAGATAATGTATACAGTATTGCGCATATAAACATATAGTAGGTGCTTAATAAATGCTTATTTATTTCCAGTCCTTAGATTCTATTGTTATTTTATAATGAGCACACAACCCAAGTAGATCCCACTGTTGTATTCTTTCCTCAGTCCCTTTTGTAACCAAAGGCACATATTGTCCAGGCAGTTGACTGGGGTTAGGGATGCTGACTGGCTAACTAACTTTTCACCTTGGTTACAGAGCTTTCTACTCTAAAAACAGTTTTTGCTTAGGATCATAGAATATAGAGCTTTAAAGGACCTTAGAGCTTATCTCCCTTATCTTACAGATGAGGTCACTGAGGCCAAGACTTTAAATGACTTATTCAAGTTTACATAGTTAGTAAGCAACAGAGACAGGATTTAAACTCCCATTTTCTGACTCCAAATCCAATTCCTTTTCTTCTACAAGAAATTACAACTATGACCACAAGCCCCAGCAGGGAATGGTGAGCCACAAGCCTTCTGGACCTGGGTAAGCTTTTCTGCCTCTATTTCCCTTTTAACTTGATGGCAACTTAGAAGTATGGGGAATAAAGTGGGGGGAAGGAGAGGAGGGAGAGAAATATGTTTGGAGCTTCTCGCATCTCTAAATTGTGGAATTTGGGAGTTGGAAGCAACCATCGCACCTATTTAGTCCAATTTATAAACTGTATCAAGAAATCCAGTTATCCAGCATCTGCTTGAAGATCTCCAAAGAGGGAAAACCCACCCCTTCTCTACGTATTTCATTCTGGGACAACTCTAATAGCTAAGATGTCTTTCCTGACACCAAACTGAAATTTGCTCCTTTGCAGCTTTGACCCATTTCTCCTGGTTTTGCCCTCTGGGCAAATAACAGAAGCAATCCTGGAAGAATGTGCTCTGAATTGATGCTGAAGGACTCTGAGATGAACCAGTAATTCATCTATCCCTAGGTCCATGCTTTCTCGGACTTCTGTCAGTTATCCCCCTTCTCCTGAGACAGATGAGTGGTTTTTCTAAGTACTGAATCCCTGCAGATAATATCCATTGTAAGGTCCTCATCTCCCTTTATAGAATATCTCTCTTCTTTCATAGGAGAATTCATTAATGTTGTCCCACTCCCACCATTGAAACCAAGTTTCTCCCCCTGCTTCCTTTTTTTATCTCTCCCTTTGCCTCCTCACTCCTTCCGTAGGCTGTCTTCTTCCTGAGAGATTACAGGAATTATTTTCCCTTCATTGTTAACCTTTGACTTGATTAGGATACATCACAAATGTTTTTCTTCCTTCCCTACCCTGTTGTGTGTGGAGACTGTGTCTTATTCATTGTAATCCTCACAGTATAATTACACCTGGTAAGCTACCTGTATGACCTAGGACAACTCACTTCATCTCCCCCATCTTAGTTTCTTCATCTGGAAAATGAAGCTGTTTGACTACAAGTTTTCCTTATTTCTAAAATCTGTTGTTCTGTAATCCCAGAGACTCAATAAATATTGAAGGAGTGGATGGGATTCTGCAAACATCCCAGAATACAATGCTTCTAGAAAAGTACAATGGGTGTGTAGGGGAGTCTGAAAGAAAAGTTTCTTATGCTAATGTTCAAGAATGAGAATTCAGACCAAGAAAACAGAAAACTCACTGGAGGAAAGCTTTTCAAAACACATTTATGTGAAATAATGGTGATGTGAAGACAAAAAGCATTAATAAAATCTATTTTTCTTAAAACATCATCTATGCAATATTGTATAGAGTAAATGAATCAGGTAAAATTGAGGTTTTTTTTAAAGAATTCATTTGAACTGTATTTACATGTATAATTGATATAATATTCCTTGCCTTCTCAATGAATGAAGAAGGGACTCAAGGGAGGGGGAGAATTTGGAACTCAAAAATTTTAAAAATGAATGTTAAAATAGATAAAATATAAAAAAGAACTCATTTGAACCCTCCCTTCCCATTATAAAACAACCCTCAGTTCTAAAAAAGACACATACCTAAGCAAAGCAAATCAATATATTGATCATATCTGGAAACATATCACTCATTCTGCACCTATAGTTCACCCTTTCTCTGGGGAGAAGAGAGAGGTACATTTGACTTTTATTCCTCTGGAGTCAATGTTCAATATATGTCTCCAGTCCAAGTTTCTTGATTTTTTAATGAAAATTTAAACTTCAGTATTCACAACTAGTTCTCTTGAATCATTTCAACTTTAGAAGCTTATTTTCATATTTAATCAGCATGGTGTAGTTTTAAAAGCATTCCTTGAAGTCAGGATAACCTGGGTTCAAGTATAGCCTCTTACCCATACTGGCTAAGTCACTTAACTTTTCACTGCTCCAGACAATACCTTATAAGGCAGTTAGTTATAGAGTAGCTACTCATTTGTATCGATAGAGGTAGTTTTCTCAATATGGAAGTTCCTACAGCCGTTAAATCACAGGTGTAGACTCATGTGTCCTACCCTCTTTTCTTCTGCCACTTCTCTCAAAAATGCAATCAACTGTCCTGTTTTAAGAATAAATCATTAAGGGAAAAAAAAGTTCTAGAAGTTTCTGAAGTTAAAAAAAATTACCAAGTAAAATATTTAATGTGGAGAAAGACAGTAGAGGCTGGATAATTCACTTGTAAGGGAATACCATTTAAAAATAGAAGCAGTTTTTGAATTAAAAAAAAAAAAGAAATAGAAGATGCTAAATAGGTAATGCAGCTATTAATAGCCTTCCAGAAAATTCCAGAATGAACCATACTAAAAATTCATCTGCAAAAAGTCCGAATTTCTAATCGCTGAATATGCAGTGCAAATTCAGTCTTCCCAATCAAATATTCCATTCTTATATGGATAATGAAATGACTGCATTGCCCCTGGATTGCATTAACAGTGAAGAGTACTTTACCACTGATTTCAAAGGTCTCCACTGAAGAAAACATCATTTGTTCTGCAGCTGCCAATCTGTTGGTGTTACAGATGACCTCTTCCTCCTTAAGACCCTCTTGAGTTTCCATTGTTGTTGCTTTATAGTAGGCATAAAGTCCTAGAGTTAGCAAAAATGCTCTCCCCTAGAGGAACCACAAAATGAATGACTACCCCTCCTGTTTAATATTGCAGCTATTACAGACATTGGTGAGGGGTGGAGATGGGGTGGGGCATTTCCCTTTGGCTGTGATTTCTGAATGTATAAAATGTTTCCTAACACAAACCAAATTAACCATTTCTCAAAAATGACCTGTCCACATGTGTAGGTCCTGGCCAGTGCAGCTGGTTAAAAAAAGTGAGTGATAATACTCTGGGTACATCCTAGACCCCTTCTCCCCACGATCAACATCAAGGAGGGAAACCATCTCCTCCAACCTGCCCCATCAGAAATTAAATGTTAGACTGAATGGACCATGGAACTAACTTCTGCCTCTACTCTTTTGACCCCAATCTTACCTTCAAGGCCCAGTTCATTTCTCGCTTCTTCCTTAAAGCCTTCCCTGAGCATTTCAGCTTATTCTCTCTTTCGATTGAATTCAATTCAACAAACATTTATTGGTGCCTACTTTGGGCAAGGCTCTTTTTTCTTTTCTATTATGGATCCCTTCGGTAGTCTGGTAAAACCTATGGACCCCTTCTCAGAATAACATTTTTCAAATAATTAAAGGAAATATTAAATTTCAATTAGATACTAGTGAAACTAAAGATGTAATTCCTCCCCTCACCCAGCCTCTATTATCTTTCTCCTCATTAAATATTTCATTTGGTAAATATTTTTCAACTTCTGGAACTTTTTTTCTCTCGATATTTTATCCTTAAAAGAGGATTTTGTTGTTTGTTGTTGTTCAATTGTTTTCAGTCATGTCTGACTCTTTGTGACCTCATTTGGGGTTTTCTTGGCAAAGAAACTGGAGTTGTTTGCCAGTTTCATCTCTAGCTCATTTTATAGATGAAGAAACTGAGGCAAACAGGGTTAAATGACTTGCCCAGGGTCACACATCAGTTAAGTGTCAGAGGCCAGATTTGAACTCAGGAAGATGAGTCTTCCTGATTCCAGGACTGGCACTTCTTCCATTGTGTCACCAGGAGGAAAGTGGGGAGGACAGCTGAATCTAAACCTGTGATTTCATGGGTATAGGAACTTCTCTACTGAGGAAACGACCTCTACCAATACAAATGAGCAACTACTCTATAACTAAATGCCACATAAGATTTTGTCTGGAACAATGAAAGGTTAAGTGAATTAGCCAGCATAGGTCAGAGGCAGGACTTGAACCCAGGTTGTACTGACTCCAAGGCCAGCTTTTTTTCATGATGCCATATTGTTTCTCAATCCCCATTCCATGGTGGAAAAATTCCTGGTTCCACTTCCCTATCCTCATGCTTCAGAGTCAATACCTATAGAAAGGAAAATTGTCTTCTCCTTTTGTCTCTCCCCTACTCTTATCCCTACCCAGCTCAGTCTACATAATGGAATCTTGGCTTTCTCCAGAAAACACTAAATCCCTGACCATCCTCTCCAATTCTGCTAGCTCTTCGTCTCATCCTGCCACTTCCACCCCTGGCCCCAGAAACTGGACCAGGAGGAGGAGTAGACAACCTCCTAGCTCCTCAGTCTCACTTCCAAACTATCTCTCTGCTATCATCACTCATCAACTTTTCTTCTTTTGAGGTTGACTCCATCCCCACCTTTATCATCTAGTCTATCTCTTGTCACGATTGCTTTATAGCAAGCCCAGAGTCCTAGAATGAGCAGAAACGTTCTCCAAATAGAGGAAGTGAAACAGGAATGATTATCACTTTTTAACTTTGCACTTATCTGAAGCACACAGGACACTTCCTTTTGGCTCTGATTTCTGAATTTGCTGACCTCCAGGTCTTTCTCTCTCATTTCTCAACAATTTCCAATATCCAACTTACAGTCTCCTTCTTCCCCTAGCCCCAACAACCTTTTGCCCTCGATTTCAGGGACTTCAAAATACATGCTGGTTTGGCCTCAAACATTTTGACTTATCAGTTTATCAATGTCCTGAATTTCCAAGACCTCCATCTTCCTTCCCCCTCAGGCATACCAAGGGATGATCACAGCCCTGACCTCACTATTACCTCAAACTCTTTGATCTTCATGATCCATACCTTCCAAAGGCCTCTCTCAGACTTCACCTTCTAATATTTTTGTTTCTGATTTTTGTCCATTTCTAACTTTCCCCTAGGGGTATCAAGTTCCCACTCAAGCATTAACCTAACAAAGCATGGAATTTAGAAAAAGATTCATTACAATGCATGTACATTACAGTGAAGGAATTAATACCCAGACCCTTTGGTCACACAAGCACTAGAGTGTTGTATACCTTCAGGCATTGGCTCAGTTCACTGCTAGACTGGCTGCAGCTGCCTCCATCCTCTGCCATCAACTCAGGTTCATTATCACAGCCATATCCTAGAAGTTGTCTTCCTTATGGTTGTTTCTCTTCCTCAGAGTCCCCTCTCTCCATCTTCTTTGTATGTGCTCATTGTACCTACGGCATTGTGGGAAAGGACTGTTTGGATCATTGTATAGTGGCTCAGATCTTCTTCTGACCCATACAACCTAAAAGAGAGGGACTGGCTTTTCTCCTCACAATGTGAAGAAAAACATCTCTTCTGTTCACTACAAGATTTTCATTATCTTAGGCTGCATTAACAGAAACAAGATATCCAGAATGAAGGATGTTGTAGCCCTACTGTACTCTGTACCAGTGGTATTAAACTTGAATAGAAATGGGAGCCTCTAAACCAGGGTGGGGAACCTGTGGCCTCAAGGCCACATGTGGCCCTCTAGGTCCTCAAGTATGGCCCTTTGACTGAATCCAAACTTCCTTTAATAAACGGATTTGTTCTGTAAAACTTAGACTCAGTCAAAAGGCCATAGCCAAGGACCTAGAAGGCCACATGTGGCCTTGAAGCTGCAAGTTCTCCACCACTGTTCTAAACCATACATAAGGGCAGAGTACAGTGGAAGTGTCATCTCTTTATCCCCAGGAACTATGCCTCTCTGAAGATCATATTAGCTTTTTTGATGGCCACACTGCAGTCCACTAAAATCACCGAAGCTTTTTCAAAACAACTGCTAATCTTGTCTCTGTCACCTTTAACCTTTGTTACCTGTGCCCTATTGAATTTCGTCTTATTAGATTCAGCCTAATGCTCTAGCCTGTCAAAATGTTTTTTGGATCCTGATTCTATCATCCAATATGTTAATTATCCCTCCCATTTTTAGGGGCATTTTCATGTAAATTTTCTGAATGTCCAACATCATGCTACCTAGGGACCCACAAGGATTGTGTCCTAGAGATGTCCTAATTGTAAGGTCAGAGAAGGAGGTGGGGAGGGATGCACAAATCACAGAATCATGATCTCAAGGGATCTTACCTTAAAGGCTTGACCTGTGTAAGCTACCATGCCCACACATACCAGAGCTATTCATGAAGGGAGAAGTTCCTTCAGGTTTAGGAAAGCACCTGTGTGGGATCTAGGAAACTCCTCCTGGAGAAATTTCCCCTACTGATACTTAAATAATTAGGAACTTTTCACTTCTCTAGGAAGAGAATTTCCCTAGAACCCCTGTGGTACTCAGGTTAAGTAACTGCTAACCAGCTAACCCAGATCTTCAACTGTAATCCAGGCAGAAGGAATAAGCCACTCAATGTAGGTCTGCTTTGGGTGAGGATATTTAAGGAAGACAGATTCTGAAGCAGCAGTTCTCAGAACAAGACCAGACATACCTGGGGGTCCTGTAGACCCTTTCAGGGGATCCAAGAGGTCAAAACTATTTTCATAAAAATACTAAGATATTTAAATTGCTAACATGGTAGAAAAAAAAGGTGCTACAATTCATCATCAGTGAAGTTTAATTGGATATTGTCCTTTTAATTGTGTATCCAGCAGTAGGAATGGACTGTACTGAAGTCTCTACTAGTTTCCCTTGTGACCAAATATGCAACTTTATGAAAGCGTAGAACTACCTTTGTGGAGCTGCTGGATCCTACCAAGAGTTTCATGGGTCTTGTACTGTTATAAAGAACTTCCCATGCACTCATTGCATATATTCATTGTTTGCCTTTAAAACAAGTTTTGTGTTGTAACTATGCCCCCAAAGCATAATGCAAGTCCTTTGGGCTTTAAAATGTCAAGACCTCACCAGCCTTGGCATATTCCAACAAGAGCGACTAAGGTCCCAGCAACCTCTCCCTTGGTTTTCGGAGGGCAGCCAATGTAGAGGGTTTATAGCAGTATATATATATATATATATATATATATATATATATATACACACATACACGCATACACACACACATATACATATATGTATATATGTATATATATACACATATATGTGTGTGTGTGTGTATATATATATATATATATATATATATATATATATATATACGCCCTCACACTGCCTTCTGACATAGTAGAAAGTAAGATTCAGGTTAAAAATGTTTTAGTTTTAAGAATTTTATTTGCTGTACAGTATTTACAATACTATAGAGTTCATGTGTTATGAAAAGTGAATCAAATTTTAAAATTCAGATATTAGCACAAAAGGTCACAGAATTCTAGGGAATTACTAGTGAGAAATATGTTTTTCATGTTATAAATTTTATTTAGTATATTGCATTTTATGGGTTATTTCATAGTTACTATGCTAGGAAAGGTTCATATTATCAAAATTAATGTTTTGTCATAAAGAATTGTATTCAGAGAAGTGTATTTTCAGCAATCTCTAGCAAAAGTTTTGGTGGTCACAGGAACCTAACCCCCCATTTCCCATAGGTTCAATGTATCAACATTCATATTTTTTACTTTATTGCCATTTTCTAGGTACATTACCCCCATGAAAGTTGAGGATTGACTGTGTATGAGAATATATACCAAACAACATGGATTGAATGAGGTCTCCCTTGGGAAGATAACTCAACCATGAGAGAGAGAGTTCCACATCTTACCCAAAGAGAAATACCCTGAAGTTTCTAGTGTAGTAAGCTAGCAATAGGGATATGATCCAAGTTCTACATGTTAACTTCTTCCCAGAATTTTTCCTCTCTCTTCAGTGAC